GAGACAAGACGGCCTCAGCACAGAACAACAACCAGAAGAAAGGGATCCAGGTGTTGCCCGATGGTGAGACATCTCAGCCAATCGTATCGCTCCAATTCCACTGAGACATCCCTTCTTAATCACACAACTTGGGTGAGGCAGTTGGGCTCTCTACCCTGCATTTGGGGTTACATGATTATTGGATAGGCTACAGTGAGGAAACCAAAAGAATATGTTCACTGTGACACAGACCATCATCATCATCTTTCCATTAGCTTGTCTGTGACCATCACTTAATTGCCTGGGTTTATTCTCCAGTGCGTGCACAAAATGTGGTTTAGAAATATCGAGGTAATGTAAGTATGAACTGTAAGATCACAGCCTACTTTCAGCAGTTTGCTGAACTCTTGAGTTTATCCTGCCGCTGCAGGTCGAGTGACGAACATTCCCTCAGGAATGGTGACAGACCAGTTTGGCATGATTGGCCTGCTGACGTTTATCCGCGCAGCAGAGACCGATCCTGGGATGGTCCATCTGGCACTAGGAAGTGACCTCACCACACTGGGACTCAACTTAAACTCACCAGAGTAAGACGGCTAATCTACCCTGTTTACTTTGAGGGTTACATTAGTGGCACTAAGCTGACTTTCGGCTGGTAAAACATGCAGTCCAATAAAAGAAATAAGAATTAATAACTCAGCAGTCTGGTAATCAAAATCAGTAGCCCATTTAAACAATGTGATATATTCATTTTGCCTGCACAAATGGTTGCAATGGTTACAGTGGCATTTGTCCAGCTTTTCATTACACAGAATTTTTAGCTGGGACAAATTTGGCTTTTTGTTGGTATAAATTTTGTGCAAGACCCGTTGTACCAGTTATACCTACAAAAGGGTAACGGGCATATATTAACATCTTCAGCAGTGTTATTGTGGAGCCAAACAATGATACTGTATGTCCAGATATCCAATTTCAAATTAATATGTTAGATTTTTCTCACTTTTTATATAACATAAAGACATAATGTGGAAAATACCCATGATGCATAATTTTAACCAATAAATAAAAACTTAATTTATAAACTTTACATTGTGCCACCATAGCATTGCAAAGTAGCTCTGTACCAGTTTTTTTTTTTTTTTTTAATTTGAATTGTTTCCAAATGGACATCCATGATTTTAAGATGGATGCAGTCACATTCAGTAGTACCAGCTTAGAAGAAGAAAGAGTCTCCACTAGAAGTCTTCTTCCTGTTGACTGCATTTTCCAGACCATTGTATTGGTTTTCTTCTGTTCATTGTTTGTTTTAGCCTGTTTAAAACATATCTGGCAAAGTGTTCAGAACTTAGCCCAACTTTCTTTCCTGACAGAAACTTGTACCCCAAGTTCGCCTCTCCTTGGGCTTCAGCACCTTGTCGACCTCAAGACATTGGTAAGACAGTGTGAAGTTTGCGAGGGAAGACAACTTGTTAATCTTTTTTTAATCACTTGTTTTTAATATTGTTGCACATTCCTGATTAGCTTATGAGATTTGCTAGTCAGTGATTTTCCACCAGGGGAACTTTACAAGCTGTAACGTGGAGCTTCCAAGCAGACCTTGAAGGGCTGATGTGATCTGTCCCGCTTTGCTCTTCCTGTGTGATTTATCCATGTGTCAGTCTGTTTACATGAGGGCGGGGCTGCGCTCCTCACACACACAGCTGAGCAGAGAGCACAAAATACTCAGTTTATCAGTCTGTTAAACAGCTGTTGAACGGGCAAAATACAAAGTTGCAGAATTAGGACTTTGCTGCTTTGCCTGAGGTGTACTAGCTGAAGCCCCAATTTTACCTTTAAACTGGTGGGTGTGTGTTCTCACACTGTGCTCGTAATGCTCACGTGACAATGTGCTGATGTTAACCAGTCATGTGCAGTAGCCCTGTGAGCTCCCTCCGCTTTACCCCCACAAGTTCCTGGATTTTGATTTAGTACTACCTCCTGTGGGGTGTCAAAGTTTAGCTTTGGGAACTCGTCTCCAAGGGCAAACGGAGTAGTAGAAAAACAAACAAAAAAAAAGAAACCTGGGACAAGGGGTACACGGTCTGCCACAGGTTGGCAGTTCCTACATTGGAAAAAGCCTAAGAGCCAGTCTGTAGAAATTTACATAATGACAGACAGGAGGTCCATGTAGACCCAGGGCTAGTTAAGAACAATCTGAATCCTCCTCAGTGAACTGCATACTTCCCTATTTTCTCATTCACTTATTAGTGCTCCTGAACAAAGTCTGTTTGATTGGCAGGCTTCTGACAGACATGTAATCAGATTTATGTTTTATATTGTGGGCATTGATAAAAGCATAGTAAGTTTTGAGCCACGATTTTTATGGTGTAAAAGCATGAATCTTTACCTCTTTCCATTTACATGGCAGTAAACTGAGACATGTTTTCTAATAACATTTCAGTAGAAGTACAGGCATTATAGTCAGTCTTTTGAGAGCTTCTAACTTACATCTGTGCTTACCCTTTCAGACTTCCATGTTCCATCAGAGTATCTAACCAATATCCACATAAGGGACAAGGTATTGTGAGCTCCAGAACTGTCCCAACATGTGGCTGCTGTTATTCATTATGCGTATATGGATACAAAACTAATTCTCCTTATGCCTTCCTGTTTTCCCTTTAGTTGGCTGCAATTAAACTGGCTCGATATGGTGAAGACCTGTTGTTCTACCTGTACTACATGAATGGTGGAGACCTGCTACAACTTCTGGCAGCAGTAGAGCTGTGAGTACTCAACCTTTTGAATGGTACAGAAATATTGTTTTTGTTCACAACGGGGAAAGGTTTCATTTAGGTTTCTGTGTCATGAAAGGATTTTTCTTCTCTGCCTCTGGGCATTGTCAGACATTTTGAATTTAAAGTACCGTAACAGTTGTGTCAGTGTGTGTTGCCGGCTTTCAGCAGCTCTTCCCTTTTTAGAGTGAAATTTTGATTCATTTGGTAACTGAGGTTCTTGGGGTGACATTTTTATGATGGTCACAAGTCAGTCACTGAGTTTCTTCCCTTTTTCAAATTTCTTTTTCATAACTTCACTCTCTAGCTTTAACCGGGATTGGAGGTACCACAAAGAGGAGCGGGTTTGGATAACGAGGGCGCCTGGTATGGAGCCTACACTGAAAACCAATGCCTATGAGAGGGGAACCTACTACTTTTTTGATTGCATTAACTGGAGGAAAGTAGCCAAAGTAAGTGTTTTGTGTTCTGCTGCTTCTTTGCCACTTTCATTATCTTGTTAAATGGCATCTGTCAAGTTTTCCTGACTTCTGTTGTGGACGAGAGGTTTTCCTGTTAATAATGTGTCTGCATCTCTAAGGAGTTTCATCTGGAGTATGACAAGCTGGAAGAGAGGCCTCATGTGCCAACAACATTCAACTACAACCCAGCCCAGCAGGCCTTCTAAGGCCCGACCAGCCCAAAGACTGCCGCTACATGCAGCGCTGCTGTCCAGGAGGGCCACTGTGGTTCTCACAGTTTGGTTTTTATTCCTCAGTGATTTGGCTATTTGACTGCGTGGGTCATTGTCACCATTAAAACTGCCCTGCCTTTCCAAACCTACATGCTGCCCAAAACACCAACACTTGTTCTGTTTTTATTCTCTATGTTCCACCTGTTTCTTCTTGTTTTGAGCAGGGTCTGTGTTATGTTTACGTCTCTGAATCTGAGGCCCATTTTCTCCCAAAAAGGAGGACTGAGCATTTTGGCCCAGGGCTGTGACAGAACAAGGGTTTATGCCTTGTATTTACAAATGTAAAGAATAGTAAACAAAGGTGGGGAAAGCAAAGTTAACATCCTCAGATGCAATGAAAGAAATGCAATGTTTATTGTTGCACTATATTTAGTAATAAAAGAACACAAAATTTGTTTGTGCTTTTTTATGTGAATGCTCCTTGATATTTTTTCCATGTTTTTGGGGGGTAGGGTGGAATGCTCTGCAGCTTTTCCACATCCCTTCTCAGCATCTTTTCCCATTTCCCCATTTAAATTGACTCTTCCAACTTCTGTATTTGTACGATCAAAGCATTTTCCTGTACCTTTTCTTCCTCTGTCTCTCTCTGTGAGTTCTGTGGCAGTTGAACACAGAAATAAAATCTGGGAGACTTCTTTGGTGTCCACAAATGTGGACAAATCCTTGCAGAGGCTAAACAGCAACACAACATTGCTCCAGAGCAAACAGAACACTTTTCAGTCTTTGTTACATTTTTGTAAGAAATGTGTACATTTGTTTCTTTTCTTCATATAAATTAGTATATGTATGTACGAATGTGTATATATGATTGCAATATATATATATGTATGTAAATATATATATATATATATGACATCTATTTTGGAAGAATTTTGTCCTGCCTTGTACCTCGTTTTTATGAGGTCAGCATGAATGCAATATGTGGACGCAACGGGACATTTCTGGATCTGCTGCACAGGGTGTTGACTTACATCAAAATAATACAAAGTTAGAATGACATAACATATATTAAAAAAATAGAAAAAGATCATTATGAGTTTCCAGTCCAAACCAAAAGAGGGGATATATTTCAGTTTGAACAGCAGTGAACAGCAGCATTTCATAGGAAACAGGAAAACTGACAATTTGAGGAGAAAAAAGTCTAGACCATTCTTGTATTTTCTGAAGTGAGAAGCTTTTTTTTCCTTTGTATTAAAGCAGAAAAAGCTTTCCCGAACTACTCTGTCAGTGTTGTTTATTCCTCAGGTATCATTCAGCTCCTTTCCTGGAATCAGTTTTATCATGTACAGATGTGTGGGCAAAAATCTATGCACTGTTGCCAAGGAAGACATTAACATGTGAAATAAATTTTTATAATGCACACAGGTTTAATGTTTTTACTGGGAAGCATCTACAGTGCTTGTAATTGGTGCTTCAGGACATTTTGCAGTGCTGAACTTTGAGTTAGGCTTTTATTACAACCCCATAATTGAGACATTAAATTGTGTTCAAAGTGCAAGTTTTACAAGTCTTCAAAAGACTTTACAGAACTTTTTATTCAAGCAAATTAATTCATGGAATGCATATTTGACCAAACTATGGCCTCATTTTCACACGTCCCACATGTTGATAGAGATAACTCAAATAAAAATGTAATGATATGATATGCCTTCAGTACTTAAGAGAAATACTTTGGAAATTTTAGTACAATGCAACACACAGGTCAGATCTGTTTAGTTGTGTTAACTCTTAAGTTAATTAGTTTACTGAAATGTTTACACTGTTTACAAAGGCACATACCCACCTTAGTTCATACAATGTATAAAATGCACAAAACTCCATAAGATTTTACACTGAAAATATTCTCTAGTCCTTAATAGTGTGCTACAGTTTACAGGGGTGCCATTTTCTTACAATTACTACACTGGACACTAACAAATGCAGCACAGTACTCCAGAAACAAAAGCACTGAAATCAAAACAGATGCAGATTATTCAATGACTGCACTCGCCTCTGATCACTAGAGGATACTCATCTACTGTAGAAAAATAATCCAGTCCATCCAGACTGAGTGTAGAAATATTGAAAAGGCTGTGTGGCAAAGGAAGGTGTTCATTTTTACATCACCTGTCGCTTGTTTAAGTGCTACAAATTCAAACAGAATTTATTAGAAACTGACAGACATTTGACAGCTGTGGGCTGTACAGTGACGGTTCTGTAGGCTGGAATGAAGAGAGACCCTTTAAGAAAACATTCTTTCTCTGATGAAGACAATTTGTGGGACATAAACAGTCAATATCCTTCTGTTGCCTGTCAAGTCCAGCTTCCTGTCATTTCTCCGTCAACTGCACACACATCAGTATAGTCTCTTGCTTGAGATCTCTTCACACTTGATCGGCTGGCCAGGTGCATGCACTACTTTACAGTCCTCTAAGAGTCACAGTCCAACACTTGATCCCTGCTCTGTTGATCTCACGAGGCTCACTTCACAGCAGGTGCAGTGTGGGTGGAGCTATCTGGACTGTCTCCTGCTTTGGCAGCTTCTTCTGGTGGAGAGAATGGCAAAGTTACTTGTGAGATCTAAAGGAGGATGAAGACACAGACTTCATCATTCATTAATCAGGATGCTAACTATGAGAAATCATCCACAAAAAGCTTGTAGAGCAGGGTGGGTGTGCCACTGGTAGTGCATAATTAAAGACTCCATTAATCATCACAGCACAAGCTAACCTTTATCCTTCTTTTCCTGAGTCTCCTCAGCTGCAGTCTTGTCTGCTCTGAAGAAAATCCGGGCGCTGCTTAGTGAGAAGTAGAGCAGCTCAAACTCCTGTGCCAGGGAGACAAAGACTTCAGTGTGAAACAAATGCTCACAGCACTCCAGATCACCACAGCAGCTTCTAAATGAATTGTTACGCAACTCTACATTTGAAAGGCAGATGATGGATGCCTTGACGCACAGCCCGAATGTCCCAGAATATATACATATAAATCAATGGATGGACACAGTGAAAAGGCTCTTGAGATCCTCCAGGAAACAGACTGTACCTGAAGGTAGACATCCAGCCTCTTCTGAGTGAGGTTCATAGTTTGCAGCAGCTTTTCATCCTGGCCTGCCGACTGGATGCTCTGCTCCTTCACCACAGCGTTCAACTCTTTCTTGTACTTATCTCTGACAGACTGGAACCAGTGCAGAGAGTCGAACTCCAGATACTGGTCCAGCAGCTTCAGAATGTATGCCACACCTGAGAGAACAAGATACAGTGGCAGCGGAGGGAAAAGACAAGAGGAGAGCAAGTCAAGAACAGGACAAATGTGACAAAACAGCATCAGGATGCTTCTTCAGTTAAATGGGATTTATCACTTTTGCCCGCTTACCCATAGCAAAGCCATCATCTGTGAATGCAGCTCCGGTTTTATTCTTCTTGTTGAGCTTCTCTTTGCAGCTGATGGAGTGCTCCACAAAATTCACAGTCTGTTGGGGAAATTTGCTGTGTATCACTAACTAAAGTGCTGATTATGGAGCAGAATGAAGAGAAACACTACAGAACGTATCAGCAAACACAAACATTAAAAGAAAAGACTGACAGGTAGTAGCATACAAGCAAACATCAGCTGTATATAAACATGGACGAGGCGTCACCGCTTCCCACCATTACGCAAAAGTGAAGCCAAGATATCAGGAATATAAGGGCAGTCAACTTGTCTTGTGATCACTGGATGGAACATGAGACATGGAGGTTGTGGGGCTTATGACCTATTCTGCAAACAGCCATCTGGAGGCGATCGACTTGTTGTGGTTTCACTTCTGTAGAGCTGTCAGGTTGTACATCTTATATATAATCTGTGGTAACAAATGAGTCTTGGCACTGACCAGTGGGGGTACAATCATGTAGAAGTTTCTCAGGTGCATATTCTTGGCACTGCGAAACTCAGGTGCAAACACTGCCCCCAGCTTCTTGAAGTACTCTGTCCCCTCAGCAGAGTTGCTGGTCAAATCTCCCAACACTGAATCTAGGACACTGGGAATGACACACAATGTTTATGATGTTTTCTTTACATTTTTCCAGCTGTTGTTCCCTCGAAGGATGTATAAATGTAAATAAACAAAAAATATAAGGACATTATTTGACTGCAGGTACAACTGAAGCTCTGTTGTTACAGTATGTGCATGACAGAAATATTAAACCAAAAACCAAAGAACACAGAAGTAAAAGCATGCAAGACAAAGACTGACCTGGAAGTTATAGTTTTGAGACAAAGCACAAGACTTTCAAACATCCTACCTGGCAGCTTTCTGAGTCTCCTCTGACAGTCCCTCCTCCTTCACCAGCTCCTCAAAGTTGACTATATCCTCAAGGTCTGGGACAAATCTGGAGATGACCCAGACACAAAAACATACTAGTGGGTTACAAGTTTTAATCAGATTTAAGCTCATATTTACACAAACTAACATCCACTTAACCAGGCATTAGTGCAGTTAATCAGCTATTTCACACACTTCCTCAGACTGGTTTACTCCAAGAGTTTTATATGAACAGTGCAAGGGAGCACAACTGTACACAATCACAACTCAAAAACCTGTCTTCTACCTGATAGCACTGCTGCAACAGTGAAGTCCTCCAGAGCGGATCATACGCACGTAGCCCATGGCGTTACCTGAAACAAAACAGTAAAACTGGCGTTGGTTCACATTTGTCTGCACCTGTAGTGAAATCTGTTAAACAACATGTGTATTTCTCACCAATCTGGCTGATGAGCTGTCTGAACTGGTCCAGGTAGCTCTGGCCATCAGGAGTGATGCCCAGCTTTCTGATGCCACGGTTAAACTTCTCTGCTCGTTCAAATGGGTACTACAAGAAAAACATGAACAGCTGAACAGTTATTGTGTCTGGCGATATGACAACACAGGAGGATTAGACAGAGAATTTGTTCAAAGAACAGAAAACAAGACCCTGTTGCAGACAATGGATTTAGTGACAGTCTGTGTTTGTGTATTTGTGTGTTTTGTCTTAATCACTGGTCACAGACTAGCTTTCAGTTTCTCATACACAGAGCTCAACTGGTCTTACAGCAGTCACGAGAAGAAAAACACATTTCTGCAGCGTTCACCATCTGTTCATTTTTCATTGTTTGTATAATGAATATGGAAAGAACTGGACTCTTTTCTTACCTTCTGATCCGACTGGTCCTTTGTCTCTCTGAAGAAGCGGATGTCCTTGATGAGTCTGGACTTGATGTGTTCGTCGTACATAAACTGGCTGAAGATGTAAAACTTCTTACGCAAAAACTGGTAGGTAAAATTTACCTGATGAAAGAACAGAGGAGAACAGGTGAGAAGAAACTATTTATATACAGACACAATAAAATGTAGTGGCACTGTTTGCATTTTCCCAGTTTTCTGCATATATTTGTCATGAAATGTGATCTGACCTTGACCAAAGTCACAAATACCTGACTCCAGTTGACATTTAGTGACATCAGAAACCTAGTGTTGCCACTGCTTTTTCTACCATCACTTTGTATGTTTAATGGGTGTGTTCAATAAAGGCATGAAAGAGCATAACTCTTTGTATCTTATCAGCTTAGAAATATTGTCTTTGTTGATATTTGTGACTTTGGTGATGAACAGATCACATTTCATGATCATTTTATGCAGAAAACCAGGAGACTGCAAACAGTGCCGTGACTTTTTCTTGCGACCGTACATTCATATCTGAGAGAGATGCAGTGACATGCTCCACTGTCACTCCTGTAAACTCACCGTGGTGTTCATAATGCCTGTGCCGTGGGTCCGGATGGAGTTGGCAATGTGACGAATGTTGATGGTGTTCAAGTGCTTGTTGTTACTTGCCTTCTCTATGAAGATCTGATGAAAGACAAAAGCCGTACAGAATGCACACACACTGCTTGTTTCAAGAAAGAGAAGGTGCACAAAGGCTCCAAGCCTTACCTGGTTGTTGAGGTTATAAAGATAGCGCGAGACAAAAACGTGAATGTTCCTCATGATCTCCAGAACATCCAACCCCTGATGAGATCACACAGAGGACACAGCTAATCAACAACTCAATAGTGACATTTTTTAAATAAGAAACAAAAGAAACTCTCATGAAGTGTAAGGTGAGGCCACGCAGACCTGCTCCAAGGTCTGGCTCGGCAGGTGTGCCTCTGTCATTGTGAGCCCATAGCGCTGTGTGGCGAGGTTTCTCATCTCGCTGTAGGTAGCCCAGTCATGCAGAGCAACAGTGGTCAAGTTGTAGAAAGTTTTGTCCAGGTAGTGGGTCACATAAACTGCAACAACATTAAAAAAAAGCATAAGACCAATAATTGTGACAGCTACGCCCTCAACACCATCTTACTGTTTTCCAGCAGGTGTCAGCATTACACAGTACACTGTTTTACACTTGTATGGGCAGGTTTCAAAAACAATAGTTCTACCATAGAGTTTACTGGTGCGACACCATACAGATCTGAATTTAGGTCTCCACAAAAGATCACAGGACGCATGCTCCTTCATTCAAAAAAGTGCAGTGGATGCTACTAGAAAATGGAAGGGATGTATTAACAAGAAGACATTTTATAAAAGTTTTTGGAATCAAAATAAAACAAAAAAACCTTTCTCTGGTCCATGACCACAAAAGTTCATTATGAAAAATGTTATTTTAGATATCCTACCAACAACAACAACAAAAAAAAAACAGGACTGAAAATAGTCTGTGAATCAGGCACCTTTGATATTTATGAAGCGGTTAAAGAATCGGATGGGTTTGAGGGAGAAGAAATGGGCCAGATCTTTCTTGCCAACTTTGAAGGGGTTCCTGTCATCCAGTTTCAGATGGGTGTGAACAGAGAGACGCAGGTCCTTCTCAATCTCCTTACAGAGCTTATCCAGCAGGTGCTACAAGAGTTGGATTGCAGCAGGAAGAAGAAAAGTAAACGAAAATAAAACAAGGTTCACAAATGTAGACAACAAGGTCCTTTAAATGTTCTTTCACATTAATACAAGGAACCAAAAATCTGCCGTATCAAATGTTCCCACTTTCTGCACCTCATTGAATACGTCCATGATCTCCTTGTCGTAACTCTCCAGGAGCTGGTCACATGACTCCATGTGTTTGGCATGCAACATGGATGGCACGCTGTCCCTCAGTGCACTAAACATGTACTTCTCCGGCCAATCATCAGCATCACCCAGAACGACAACCGGAGGAAATGGAGGTAATATATGAAACCAAATTAATATAAAGATGCTTACATTTTAAGAGTAATATGTACATAATATGTACATCAAAAGCCAGTCTGCTCACATGTAGTCGTGCTGCGTCCACAGCATTGTCATAGACATCATCTAGGTAGATGGGAAAGATAGCTCGGTGCCAGTAAAGGAAGCTACAATCACACTGCAGCCTGACCCTGAGGAATAAAGGACAAAAGCCTTTAAGCATCCCAAAGAAAACAGCTAATTGTTTACATAAATCTAAGGATTTGTGCCAACATGGTCCAAAATTAGCATCCAGCAAGTGTCACATGCTGGCAAAAGGTTTAGTTTTTTCAATCAGTGGAAAATTTTATTCACCGTGCTCTAAAGAAAATCTCACCTCTCACTCAGCTCGCTAATTAGATCCAGCTTCTTCAGCACAAGCTGCAGCGGTAGCAGCTCTTCATCTCTGAATGTTTTCTAGGACAAAGCCAAGAGATCAATTTCAGTATCAGGCCAGGAAAGCCGATCACATAAAAAGAAACAAGTGTCGATATCCCATCAACCACCTGTGTCCCAACGTACCAGCTGAGTGCCAACACACAGAGCCAAAGACACCACAAGGCGCCGTTCCTTTGTGCTGGGTCCACTCAGGGCATTTTCTGCCAGCACCAAAGATGACAGCACATCCAGGCGCTGCTCGCTGTATTTCTTGTCGGAGATCACTCTTTTCTTCAGCGTGGAAAAAAACCACAAGGCTCATTTAAGATGGAGAGGAATGTTTAATAAGATGAACACATCACTTCTGTAAATACTAATAACGTGATTTATGATTTGTGTTAACCTTAGCGGTGCTGATGGCGCTGAGGGCCTGTGACTGCAGCTGCTGAGTGATATGAGACACAGAGTCGGCTACAACCATGGAACGCCTGTGAAATGTGTGCTCCACAGCCTATGAGGAGACATGAGTTCATTTTTATCAGTTTTATTCAAACAGACAATGAATGCACTAGTAAAAAGCATAGGGATACTCAAAAGCACACACACCTTGAGCAATTCAACTAGTCGACAGAGCGCTTTGACAGATGTCTTGGTCATGGGCCGCTGCATTGACATGTACATGTTCATGGTGGTCCTGATAATGGTGCTGATGCTGTATGCATACAGGATGCCCTGCAAAGAGGAGCAAACACAGAGGACGATGTAAAAGAAGTTTTATGTGGCCAGATTTTCATGAAACAAAACAAAAAGCTTATTCAGATTTCTCTGTTTCTGAAGAATAATCCCTGGATCATCTGTACATTTATATCTGAATTTAAAGGAATATGGGGGAAAAAATCTTTGTAGTTGGGTTTTATATTCTGCTCTGCAGTCTTCCTATGGGATAACACTGGCAGCTCGTACCTGTACAAACACATTACACCTGCTGTTAAGGTCATCTGCCAACTTGTCACTTTTATGCTCCTTGGACAAGATGGACTCCATCTTCATCATCCAAGAAATGACAAACACATAATAGGACTGAAAATCCCTGGAGAAAAAAAGACAAGAAAAGCAATGAGATTCTTAAATCTGAAAATCTGATGTAATCAGAATAAATGTGCCTGATTGTTGGCCCCACTGACTTTGTTAATGTCTGAGCTCTTTGTTGCAGGTAGGTGTCTCTCTGTGCTCTGATGGCCTGTAGACTCTTCTTATCCATCAGTTTAGCTGCAGCTGGGACTTTTGCGATAAGGAAGGTGTCAGGAAACCATATAATGTTAGCAGTCAGAGTGACAGCTGGAACCTGGAGAAAAGGGCACATACACAAACACATCAAACAGATGGCTCCATGTTGCGACATCAATTAGAAATAAGAATCAGGAAAGGATGACCAAGGGCACAAAACTACCTTTTTACAGACATCGAGCAGCGACTTGTAGAACTTTTTGTCAACACTCCTGAAGATGTGAAAGTGTAGCACAAAGAGGCCACAGACTGCAGCATATTTATCTCTTTGGTCAATCTCCGAAGGCTCACCTGAAAACCAGACAAACAAAACAGTGTTCTGAAGTTGCATGAAAATGCTACTCTCTATGAAACCATGCTTTCACATGAAGAAAAACCGACCAATCTTAGACTCAACACCGGTGAATATGGTGCGTATATTGAAGGCGAACTCCTCAGCAAAGGCACTGTTTTTGGAAACAGCTACTTCTTCCCTAGGATCATCGAATCTCTGTTCCACACAGGCCTGTCACACAGTCACAGACATCACAAGGTTTATGGTGAACAGAGTACGTGTTCAGAACATAGTCAACTTCACAAAATGAACTTGACAGAAGAAAGCTCTGAAAGAAATGAAGTCACCTGCAGTATCATGCCATCCAGCAGGTGTCCCTCAAGCTTAAGCAGGAGCTTCTCAAATGGTTTCAGCTTCTCTTCAGGAATGGAAAATTTCCCAGGGTTATGATGGACGGATTTCAATAATCTATGACAGAATAATATAGTTAGAAACAACTATATATAAACCACAAAGTTCATTCAATAAATGGATGCAGGTAGAAAATAACATTTATTCTTGATGAAAGACATGGAATTGCAGGATATGCACACTATATTAAGAAATAAGATTTTACTTTATTTCATTTCACAGATTGCAGTAGTGTGTTGTGCATATGTTATGTTAACCTTTTATACATCTTCCAGTGATCTTTTAATGTGCCATGATTTTCCATAATCTCATCGAGTGTGAGCAGGACCACTAACAATTCCCCAAGGTGTTCATAAACTATCTGCAGAAAGAATGTTAAAAAGACAGCAAAAACTATTTAGAGACAGAGAACAGACTCAAAGTAAAACCAAGTATAATGTACAAAGTAACATTTTAAAACAGTCATTAAATCTTAAAGCCTACCTGGAAGTGGACACCTGACGACTCAATAATTTTTGCTGCACCCCTGAGATATTAGAAGAGAGATGCTTTAGTACATTTTGTCTGTAATATGGCAAAACACACAATAAGTGCTTAACCCAGAAGTGAACTCTGTAAGTTGTTGTTCTGTCTGTATGTGAAGTGCACAATGTTTTTATTTATAACAACCCAGCAAGGACAGTAGTTTCTCTGTGTAACATGACTGGCTTCTGCTCATGGATCTTACTTGTTGCTGTTGTAGAGGGCAGCCAGCTGATGAACAATGTTGACCACCACTTCATAGCATCTCGACACAAAGCAAGATAGTTCCTGATAAAAGGAGGAGCTATCAGTGTTGGCTGGGTATTAACAAACTACATTATGACAAAATATACATATATATGAATATCTATTGCTCACTTGTAGGAATGAGATGAATCTGCCCATCTGAATTTGGGACTCTCCCTCAACAATACTGGTGTCAGGCACTTAACACAAACATACATCTTTTATTAGTTCATCAAGAAGCAATGTGTACCACTAAAGGTACACCAAGGACAACAGAAAATACTGACTGCTGACAGATTACCTCCTTCTCCATAGTACAATAACCCATTGTAGAACTTTGTTTCTGCCTGCAAAAGAGCATCGATATGAAACATCAGTTCACAATACAGAACCTGCATTTGTATTTCATGACACAACAGTAACAAGGGACACAATGGAGAGATAATGCTTAAAGGGGAGAAGGCAAGTACGATGACAAAACACTACACACAAGGGATGCTAACCTCACAACAGTCCAGAGTGTTTTGACCATTCTTACCTCATACTTAAGCTTCTTTACTTCAGTACAAAGAGCAGCATAAACAGTGATGACTTTGTTCAGAATCTGCACAGCCCACAAAATTACACTGATTATTTAGCAAAGAAAGACTCTGTGGATATGAGACTAACAGTTACAGCCTTTGTTTGTCTTTACTTACTTTGTTGTCTGTTTTAATTAACTCCAATAAGGATGACTGCTCATATGGAGTAAGCTGTAAGAGAGCAAAAAGCACTGGGATTGAAATTATACACATCAAATTTGTTTAAACCCAATGCCAGAATACTGTACAGCCACAGGTTTTGGTGTTTTACCTTCAGGGCAACAGGGTCCAGAGTGAAGTCCCACACATCTCCAATGGAGTCGTCCAGAGCCTCCTCAATGCCTTTCAGCTGAGAGGTGTACTCCTCCAGAAACTTGCTGTAGCTCTTCAGCTGGACCTCTGTGTGTATTTCTGTAGGGCAGAAGGTTTGATGAAAAATTATGGTTGAAAGTAACTGTACTTAAAGATTCTATACTTTATATGGAGTATGCAAACCTTATGCTTTCTGCTTCTACTCCATTACACTTCAGCAACAAATACCGTACTTTTTACTTAACAGTTATAATTACTTCTTACTCATGTGAGTGTTGTATAAAGTACTATACACCGTGCTACGAATTGCCCAATAGTAAATAAACTAACTCCACCTTTACTAAAGGCACCTGCTACAAAATGTTGTTTGTGAATCTATGCAGCTGTAATAAACCAAAAATAATCATCTATGATTCTTGTGATACTTATTATAAACATAGAGAATTATGAGCAATATATACTTTTAAGTATCAGTGGGGAAAAGTGACCACTTCTTCCACCGTCAACTGATAGGTCTACTAATGGACAACCATTAATGTCCTTGCTAAACTGAATATTTTCTTACAGGTAGCAGGTAACAACCTGTTAAGTCACGAAAAAAGAGGAAGCACCACCAATAGAGCATCGTTTAATATTCAAATCCCGATGTTAACCTATGGAACGTTAGATACGTCTTTCCTTTTGTGCGTGTTAGTTTAAATTGAAATAAACTAGCGCTACGTTTTCTACGTTGGCTCATTTTTCTGTCAAAACCTGAATCCATGGTCAAAAACATCGGTGCTACACAGTCAAGACTGATCAGCCGTATGACAGCTGTATTGTGGGGATAACAGCTAACTTATCGTTGTCATTTAATTTTATACAATTACCCTTTACATGTCACCTAGCCTGGGTATGCTGGACTCTGGCCAATATTCCGCGAGATCATTTCAAAGATGTTTATTTAACAAGCATCTGTTTGCAATGGACAACACGAGGTGTTCGTTTCCAGTAAATAGACGGAACCTGAAGTGTCAGCGCTTCTTCTATGAGCCTACGTTAGCTAACTTAGCACTGTGGGCTAATGTAAACTTAAGCACAAGCGGCCATCGTCTGCATACCAGGAATTAACAAATCACTTACTTTGTGATCCGTCGTCAAAACGGTCAAACTCCCAGTCAGGAGCAATGGTTTCTACCGCCATAATGACGGTTTGGGTAACCCAAAAGAACCACAAAAAAAAAACAACAAAAAACACTGCAGTTAAAAAGTGGAGCAACACCGTCCCATGACGGGTCTCATGATTTTGACAATGGGCGCAAGTATTCATGGGAAATGGAGTCCAGGGGAATTGACTGCAACACTTGATAGATAGATAGATAGATAGATACCATACACATCACATTGATAGATAGATAGATAGATAGATAGATAGATAGATAGATAGATACCATACACATCACATTAGTTTCAAAGGAGACCCACGGTCCGGAGGTATTTATTGGTGGGGGGAGGGAACAGGCTAAACAAAAAGAA